TTTGGCAGACTTAATTTAAGGACCAGCGGGCTAGTTCACGAACTCCACTAATTATATTTTTATATATTAAAATTGTAATATTTAGTTGTATATTTAAACTTTTAAATTATTATAACATTAAAATTATGTTTAGTTGATGTATATTTATCATTTTGATTATTTTTAAGACATTTTGATTCATTTACTTAAATAATTTTATTTTCTAAATAAATTAGTTTGAAAGCATCGTTATTAAAATTATTATTTTTAATATAAGTTAATATTTTAAAATGTGTAATGCATAAAATAAATATTTATTTTATATAATTATAATTTATAATAAATAAAATTTTTAAATACATAAATTATATTATAATTGAATTTCATAATTAAAATATTTTTAAAGATATAAATTATATTTTAAATTTATAATAAATAAAATTTTTAAATACATAAATTATATTATAATTGAATTTCATAATTAAAATATTTTTAAAGATATAAATTATATTTTAAATTTATAATAAATAATTTATATTTGTAATATAAAGTTATTTCAATTATTGATGATTTAAAAGAAATATTAAAATTTAATATAAAAATAAAAAAAGATAAATTTAAAAGTGATGAACTTCTTTTTTTTAAATACTTTTGTTAGAAAAAAAAAACAGTTGAATAATAGGTTTCTAAAATCATTTTCATTCATGATAATTATTTTAAGGTTTAAATATATTTTTAATTATGTAAAATGTATAAATTTTAATTTTTATCTTTGTAAATTTTTTTTTATTTTTCCTTTTTCATAAACTTATAAATATTGACTTTGATCCTTGTAAAATATTTTTAATTTTTATAAAATGAGTAAATTTTAATTTTGATCCTTATAAAATATTTTTATTTTGATTCGCATCCTTCTAAATTATAAAATAATTATTTATAATCTCTAACGATGATTTAAATAAATAAATAACATTTATTTAAGAACTTACAAAAAGTGTAAAAGTGTGAAATATTATATGTTAGTTATGAGTTATACTTGAAATGATGAATTAACCTATTAATAAATAAATAAATTATTAAAAATTATTATATAATAACAAGAACTAAAATAATAGTTATAAATTTTACAGCAATGAAAAATAAATATTTTTTTAAGAGATCAAGATTAAAATTTACTTTTGTAAGAATTAAAAATATATTTGTTTTATTTTAATTATATATATATATATATATATATTGATTCTTTTAAAATTAAATTCTCTGTAAGTTTAAATCAAATGAATGTATGGAAAGTTTATGTTTATTGGGAATGAGAGCAATAACGTACGAACCCATACAATTGCAGTCGGTCCTTTTCAGTTTCACAGCTGGGCTCGTGCGTAGCCTCGTCCACATCGTGAGAGATTGTATTGCGGTAAATCACACTCATACCGCGCTCTTTGCTTTTATCTGCAAATGCATTCAAACAAAGGATAAGGGAGGAAGAAGAAAATAGGACATTCTAAAAATGTTTTAAAAATAATTATTTATTTTTTTATTAACCTTTTTACTTATCATCTGAAGATAATGTTAAATACTTTTTATATTCTCTAGATATTAAATAATATATGTTTTATTTAATATTATTTTTACAAAATATTAAAATTGCAATAATAATAATAATAATAATAAATATCGTCCAAAAAAAAACAATAATCAAAAGTCGAATACGTCATGTTAAGAGCTGACATTATAAGGAGGTAAGATGTTGTGATATATATAAATTCATTATTAGAGTTTTCAATGACATGAATATGAAATATCAAATTCCTTCATCTAGTAATTATAAAGTCTTTCCTAAAATACAGGAGTTGAGCTGGTATATCTAGAATTTTGTTAGTGTGAATCATGTATATTGACAAAACAAAAATGTTTTTATTATTATTTATTAATGAAATTTAAGGGGAGGAAACGATGTGTCGACATATTATTTTTACATTTACCAAAGTGGATTCTACTAGACCAACCCTCGGAATGGACATGTTTTTACTGAAGGAAAAGTTGAGCTGAATGCATTATTCAACAAACGGGGCGTCAATTCATTCATTATATCTCAGAGCATGGAATCGGATGGTGACCAATCTTATCAAGAAAAATTCTTGCACGTCTTTTTCCAAAGTTGGGAGTATCTGAAACTAGCGAAGACACCAGCCTAGCCCAGATAAAGATTGCCACTGCACTATTATTAATGAAAATAATAATGTCAATTAAATTGTACATGTACCTCTCCTACAGCTCTCTCATTTACTCAATTGCTCATACAATTTCTCAATCATTGCGACCATGTTCAAACTATTTTTTAGAACAAAATTTGATCAAACTTGGATACATTATTTGTTATATATAGTTAACATACTAAGGACGAATGCAACATTTGTGAGTAATATTTTTGGGGGCAATTGCGACAGATGGTAATGGCACTGCGATTTTAAGGTGGGGGTATTGCGTATTTAAAGGTAATACACGTGCATAGCTTTGAAGGGGGCCTTTATAGGTGTCCACAACTTATCTTTCGTGATAAGGCTACAGCATATAATCATAAGGAGTTCAATAGACTAGTCTTTTCATTACATGCATGTGGCCTCCGGATTTTCTGCCCTCAAGTTCCATTCCACCCATCATCCCAACCCCTCTTCTATCCATTTCATAATTACCATACACAAAATTTCAACTTCTCTGGCAGTAGTTAACTTCTGTGTGATATATTATATACATGCATACATGCATGCATGGTAAGAAAAACAAATTAAAAATACATGCACAAATGCACCGCACCAACCAGCAACATGGAGATGTAAATGGTAAATAATGCATTGTTTCAATCAATAGGGATGGTATGATCAAGAGGGGCGTGATATATAGCTTTAAGGACAATAACATTATGAATTTGACAGTGGCAGACCAAATATGGTAGAGTTACCACTACGAGATCCTCGGGGGTTGTACTTATAAAGTTGATTACTGGCACAAAACGAAAGTGACATTTCGGTCAGGTCCAATTTCATCGGAGTAAAATTTCTTTCGTGCATTCTAATGTTAATTCGCCTCATAGAATGTACCATGCATCAAGTTGTATTGGATTTTACAGCCTAGTAATCATATGCATGCCATAAAAAAAAAGATAAGAATCGTTATTCATTGCACATATGCGATGTGATTGCTTATTACTTACTTAAGTTACTTTGCTGATGTACGAAGTCAAAGCATCAACCATACGGATTGTATATTGTATACCACATATATGGGATTGTTGGGACCAAATAAAAGGAGTCTAGTGCATGCGTGAGATTTTAGCTACATGTAATGTGCATGCACGTCTCTTCTCGAAAACCTACCTAAGGAAATAGCATATAGCATTTAGTTAACACATGGGGTGGGAGTAAAATACATCATGCTCCAATCTTGTACTGCTAAAGTCAAAACTGGGGCGCTCAGATGTTACATTTTAACAACTAAAGTTGAAGGACGATGACAGAAAACGGATGATTAAGTGAAGTAGGCCAGAAAGACCAGGTGCACGTTTAGTTCAAGTACAATATAACTTTTCAAAAACCCAGATTTGGCGAGAAAACCTTTCAAGTGCTTACTTCAATTAGCCTTATAACGACAATGAATTATATGCAAATGGCTTGTCATAACTAGCAACTGTTAATGAAAGTGACAGCGGAGATGGCTTGCACGTTAAGAAGAAATATCTCAACAGCATATCAACCATGGACGAAAAACAGTAACATTACGGACAACTCCCCTCTCTGCCTCCTAAAAGTGGTACAAAGATAAAGAAACGATGAACTACTAAGTCAAGAAAGTATATTTACATGCATATGCATGCACCAACTACTAAAGTTCTATCAAGTTTTAAAGGATAAAAAAAAAAACAATATTCAATTACCTTGTTTTTACAATTGGCAGTGAGCGTTATCCGAATTAATACAGTAAGCAAAACCAGCTTCAAACACGTTATCCGAATTAATACAGAAAGCAAACCAGCTTCAAACACATCACAATTGTGGGGCATTTGATATTTCAATCAATATCATCCTTATCAAAACACTATTAAACTTGGAAATAAAACCAATGTTCCAAAACTTGGTGAGTTTTTATGATTGATTCAGACACAGGATATACAACGAACAAAACCAGTACTAATAATTAAAAAGTGGCCACACTCACGAGTCACGACTAGTACAAATGAGGTGGATCATTGTATCATATCACTGAATTCATCCTGCCTAGCCTGCTGTACTTCCAGTTTATGATTAGCTATATTTTGTACCAGTAGCTCAGTAGTTATTTTGTACCAATAGCTCAGTGCGTGTTTGATTTGCTTTCTATTTATTTATTTTATTATTATTATTACGTCTTTTCAGTAATACATAAACACTTCATTACTCTTAACACCTCATTAATACTCATCATTTTTCTCCCTTTATATCAAATGCAATCACATACTATGAACTATCATTGATATTCTTACACTTCTCTATCTTTATCTCTATAACATAATGTATACTCATAATTTCCCTATATTTTTGTTATAATTATAGAAACTACTGACTTCAGATCAGTCACAAAAATGCAAAATCTGAAGATAAATTGGAAACAAATAAGTCATGTTCGCATTTATTAGCCAAAAAATAATTAAAAACTAAAACATAAAGTAATTCGAGCACCCTTAACTAATGAAAATCTGTTCCATGTCCCGTTATTTATCCCCGTTGAAAAATCATCCTTTGTATTTTAGCTGGCTATCATTGAATGCATGCAAATTTTAATAAGAGATAAAGAAACATGGTTGGTCTTTCAATCTTCATGCCATCAGTGTAGTCCAGTCTAGTTGGTAAAATAATCATTCAGAATTTCAAGATTATCGAAGATCCGTTTAAGCAAAATGCGACCCTCGTAGACAGTTGATGATGGACAAACCCACAAACCTGATTATATTAGTTATTATTTAAGTTCCCGCCTCATGAGAAAGATTGACGGTTAATTAATAAGGAAGTTCAAACTACAATTGAAATAAACGTTACATGAAATGCATGTCAAAGTTGATACATGGCACACTAGCATATTCTATTAATTAAGTAACGAAAACGATAACTAGTAAAATTCTACACGCATTTATAATATGTACACCTAAAAGAAAAGAACAGCATGTATAGGTTATTATCTTCTATGTTATGTTCACAGCAATATCCAAAAGTTTCAATCAACCATGAGCTCTCGGCTGCGAGTTGAGGGTCACAATTCCTGCAGCATAAATATAAGCAGAGTTATAACTGTTCAAAAACATTCTTAATTCTAAGGCATCCCTGGATTCCTTATGCAAAGTCAACTTGGCAAACCACAATAACCAACAGAATCTAGGTTGTCATGCTCCGAGTTTCAATAAACTGATGAAACTTCCATATACTTGTAAGGTAAAATCATAAGAATTTAGTTAAAGTAAAAATAATATTCAAAAAACTAAGACAGTATTCAAGCATGACATAAAACTTATCACAAATCATAATAATGACATGCGAAAAGAGACAAGTTGACAACACTGGGTTTGGTGTAGCTATTATTAAACTTCATACTACTATTGAGATTCAATTGGCTTGCAGAAAACAATATCAAGGACTTTTTTGTGTAATTAGAGGCCTAGTAAAATTTGGTTAACATTGCTTTTAGAAAGGGTGCAAGGGCAACATCAAACATTTAGTCATTTTGGGACAAATGGAGCACAAATAACATTTGACTTCAGATTAGCAAACCCGCTTCTTGATTTGAGAAGTATATGCAAGTTTCCATGAGTTTACAAAGTCTACCTAAGTTTGTCTAAAAATTACATGAGTGAGTTACTTGATTCTCTACCTAGAATTGCATTTGGTCGATGAGTTGACACCATAGTTTATAATGTTCAAAATTAGCAAGTCTCATCTTCCATCAAAAGATCATTACAAGTTATATCACGCCCACCAATAAATTGAATCTCATTTATGGAAAGAAAAAAAAAGAGCAAACTAACATCATTTATAATGAATTAAAGCAGTTAAAGTAGTACACTAATGCATTATATGCAGCAAAAACCGATGTTGAGCGACAACCTTGGTACACAGTATGTTTCAGAGTCTCTGGGTGTCTCCAAGTATGCAGATTAGAGAGGCCTGTTTGACGAAGATAACTTTCAGAACTTTGGTTTGCATTTCCTAAATGATCAGTTTGTTGATTAACTTTCATTGTCAACCTTCTAGTAGAATCATCCATCCTATTCATTCTACAGTCTCGCAGAGGTTCTGCAATTTGGAAAATCAACAAAAAGTCAATGAATACTTTTATCTGTAAAGAGTCACAAATCAGAATGCGACCAATGAGGAAGGAAGATGGTTAAAACTTAAACGGCATTTTTTTTTCAAAAGAAACAAAAAGGACAAGAACAAAAAACTCGTGAAGAAACAATCAAATTGAGATAAATAATTCATTAGAAAAGATGTAATGTTAACCAGTAAAATCAGGAGACAGCAATATTATCGTATCCTCACATTCAATTTTCTTCCTTTTGTGTGTCACTGCTCAAATATGAACTGTCTACAGCAAGGATAACATCTTAGTATTACTTAGAGGACCACAATGTATATGCCTCTAGGACATCGTATCAAGAAGTGAGACAATGCATCAGTATTTTTGATGGGCAAGAGCAAGCGAATAAGCTTGCTTTGAGTTGTTTACTCCTTTATGAAGCTCTGACAAATGAATACTAAATATTTTATTTTTCAAGACCTGCCTTACTCCAGGATTAACCTTTGCATTCATCCAGTTCGACCAAAGAATTCATAATTGGTAATTTGGTTTACCCTGTATATTCCAGTTTCTAACATAAAGCTGATAATTTACTCAGTAGTATGATGCTTAATATCAACGTAATCAATATTACACTTTTCAATAAATAAAATAATTAAAAAAAAACTATTTTTATTCCTTAAGCATTGGCCTTAGGTTAGCATTAGGCAAAACCACTGTTCAATTCAAACACTAGTGTCTAGTACCAATTGTAACCGTTCACCATAAAAGTTGACACGAAAGTTTGCTATTTTAGCAGCTACAGTTACAAATAAGTGCGCGCACATTTTCCATTCTACAATAGGTAACAATTAAAATTGAAAACGGCAAAAAAGTATATAGAACAAGTGTACCTTGAGGTGAATGGGGAAGATGAAGCAGCGGAGCATACATATAAACATCAGATATGAGATACTCCCCAAGCCACTGCCTCTCTTTCACAGGTTTTTTCAATTCAACAACTGAGACATCATAAACAAAAGAAGCACTTCATCAGACAAAAGAAAAAGCATGGTGGTTGAAAGCATAAGATAATAAAGGGAAAAAAAATGATGGATGAGTGTGAAACCTTCAGAAGGAAAGGTGTTGAAAGCATGAGAAGAGGGTAGCGGAGAGAGAAGAGGGGCATACATGAAAGTATCAGACTTGAGATAATCCAAAACCTTTCTCAGTGATACTTTCCTTCTGCTGCTGCGCTTAATGGGTTTCTTCTTTTGAACTCTCAGGCGATCTCTGTTTTCCATTTCTTCTTCTTCTTCTTCTGCTGTGAAAATGCTGCAACTTCGGAGTTGAAGGAACAGGATTTGGCGGTTTGCGAACTTTGACAACGGGACACGTGTCCGATTTTGAGGAACCGCCAGTGTCACGTGTCATGTTCTTTTTGTTGCTTTATGCATTGCCCATGCAGGCCGACGTTTGAGCTTATTGGGCCCTGTCCCAATTCATGTGGGCCTTGGAAATGTTTCATGGGTCACGCAACAATAAATTAACTAAGGCTCATGATAAACACACCTCCACTCTCCTATAAGTACACCCCCTTTTAAAAAAAATATATATAAAATGTCTAAATTATCCTTAAAAAAAAAAAAAAATTCCTAAATTTACACCCCTCCTTCCTCGCACCCCCTTCCTCGCACCCCCTTCCCGCAAGCAGAACGGGCAGTACTGCAAGCAGAACGGCCGTGCTGCTTGCAATACGGCCCGTTCTGTTTTCAGTGCTGGCCGTTCTGAAGCAAAACGGGCCGTACTGTTTTCAGTACGCCCCGTTCTGCAAGCAGTACGTCACGTTCTTCAATCAGTACGGCCCGTTCTGCAAGCAGTACAGGCCGTTCTGCTTGCAGCAAGGGCCATTCTGCTTGCAGCAAGGGCCGTTCTGGGGTCGTTCTGTTGCAGTACAGGTCACCGCGTCACTTTTAAAATGGCTACCTTATGACTGATTTTAAAACCCCGATTTTAAAAGTTATTTTTGTACTAATCTTTCTTTTCATAGAACAAGTAAGAGTCTTTCTCATACAAAATCACTTGCCGACATTGCGCACCCCTCTTCTTTCTCTTTCTGGCACTCCTCTTCTTCTTCTTCTTACTGTTACGAAAAGTTCTTTCCGGAATTATATAAAAATGTTCCGGAAAATACTTTCCATAATATTAAATTCTTATTCCGGAAAGTATTTTCCGGAAATGTTTTGTTATATAATTCCGGAAAGTATTTTCCATAATATTAAAGTTACTATTACGGAAAGTTCTTTCCGGAATTATATGAACAATAATTTCTATTCCGAAAAGTACTTTCCGGAATGCTAATGACTGTAAAAGTACTTTTCGAAATGCTATGACTGTAAAAGAACCTTTCTTATGCTGATTATGGTGGGACTAGTCCTTTTTTTCTATTCAGAATGACTGTAAAAGTATATTGCTTAATAACATTGAGCGGAAAGAGGCTTTGGGAAGAAGAGGGGTGTGAAATGTGGGGTGTGGGGAAGGAGGGTAGGGGAAGGGAGGTGTAAATTTAAGAATTTCATTTTTTTTAAAGGGTAATTTAGACATTTTATATATTTTTTTTTAAAAGGGGGTGTGTTTATATGAGAGTGGAGGTGTGTTTATCACCAGCCATTAACTAAATCTTCAATAAGTTTCACATAGTACATCGCCATTTGCCAATCACTTGTGTTCTATCAATGTACTTGATAGATATAGAAAAATAAAAAGAAAAAACTATCAATTTAATCTCTCAACTTTATTCATATCCTGTATAGCCTCGAAAATACAATTATATAAATTATCTCTTAAGGATCAAATATTCACCGTTTAGCCCCTAAATTACTTTTTATTAATGTTCAGGAACTAATTTAATTGATTTTTTTTAATATTTAGAGAACTACTTAATATTTTTTTAATATAGGAAAATTATTTATATAACTGTTTATAAATACTACTAAGGAGAATTGTATATTATATGTTAAAATAAAATGATGTGATGAAATAATAATTTTTTATTTAAAAAAATTTCATGAATTTAAATATATAACTTAAAAAAAATTATTCTATGGTTGAATTGATAAGAGTGACTTTTTGTGAATGGTTATCAACAGCTCATTATTTTAGTTTATAAAACATAGTGATTTTGTGATTGTAGAAATTATTGTTGTTGATGAAAGAAGTTATTATTATTATTATTATTATTATTATTATTATTATTATTATTTTAAAAGATGAATCAATAGATCACTAATTAAATTATATGATTATTTTTTATTAATAATTTAAAAAAAAATGCATGTCATATATTTTTCAAACTTATAAATATTAATAAAATATTTACTATATTTTAAAGAAGCTTCCAAAGTAAATTGTAGTTAATACAATACCAACAAAGTAACCAAATTATACATCTATTTAAATTGTATAAATCATTATATAATTAAATATAATTTTAAATTAAAAAATATACTATATAAATTATTTAAGTCAATCGAATGTTGATTTAGTGGTGAGTACAATGTCAAATAATTTTATTCGCCTTGTGTGATATGAATCATTATTTGAACCGAATGATATAAATTAGTTTAGATAAAACATAATTTAATAATATTATATATATAATATTTTTTGTCACACACATATATATGTATTCAAAAGTATGTTCGAAGTAGTGGCTTAGTTACTTGTCCTTAATATAAATGGCCACGGTTTGAGACTCGTCTTCAGAGTCATAAAAAAACGTAACCCAATTTGAATGTCAACTCGAACCGGTAACAAGTCCGAGTCCCGACCAGTTTGAGGAGGGTTTTAAAACTATTATTATCATTATCATAGAATTTAAAGTAAAATATATTTTATATTCGACTATATTTGTAGAGAAAATGTTTAAATTCAAAGATTTTTTTCATCTGAATGCTCCTTCACACGTATGCACATACTTCATTTTAAGAATTGAGGTTTAATATCCTCATTTTTAGTATGAAGTTGCAACTGAAAATATTATTTTATTTTTAAAGAATCTAACATGTTAAGAAAGAGTTATACTCTCTTATCATACAAAAAAAAAATTAGTACATCATCCTAAACATTTTACATACGGTCAAAATATATTTAATGCTAAAATAAATTAGATGTGAATAACATTTGTTAAAGAAGGTTAAATTGCCTAAACATCTATGAAGCACAAATACATTTATAGAGACTCATGTTGTCATGTCAAATATGTTCTAAACATGATTCCTATCATACACATCTTAATATACATCCGATACCTCTTTCGCTATGTAACATCACTCTAACACAGTTTAAACACTTTTTTTTTTACACGAATTGGATACGAGCTAAAAGAGTGAAATAATTCAGTTAAATATTTATCTAACACTTTCATTAAAAAAAAAATCTAAAAGGTGAGCTTATTTTAAAAATATTGTAAGGCTCGTAACTTTTTTATTAATCTTTTATAGGTTAATTTTTATAAAAATTATCAGATATTTTAACTTTTAAAAAATATAATTAATTTATATATCGTGTTGCCGTGTTTTATATTTTGAACATTCACATGTCCTGATGTTTCGGTGTAACAGAGTGGTGTTTCGTAGCTAAACATAAATATGCCTGCTTCTTAAAAATTGACGTGATTTTTAATATGTTGAAAAGCTACTATTTGTGGTTGGACGTGATAAAGCGCATTTCTAAATGGTTTCCAAACACACATGCTACATCAATCTCCATCTACAATAACTAGATAAATTCTGCAAATAAATATAGTTGAAAATTTATGTGGTTAGTACGAAGCATTATTATTATGTTACGTGTTGTATTGTATCATATCATACGTGAATAAATAGATTGAGGAAATCCCACCGGCCACCATTTGCTTTGTTAAAGAAGTTGTCCTTTCATCCAGATTTCAACTGTATACAACCCAACCAATAACCACCCCCAGACACTTAGGTTTCCATAAATAACAATTGAACGAGTTATTAACATGTCAGTTTAAAATAAATGCTAACAACTATATATTGTGAAAGCCACATCCAATTATTTGCCGCGTTTTAAAACAGCCACAGCTCCCTTTCACTTCCTCACCTTCTAATTAAAAAGATAATAAAATCTAGTTTGAGGTATAATAACACAGTTCAACATACAGAAACTTTTGTAGGGTATGTTGATGAGGCAAGAAACGTGCATACCAGAAAATCTTTATCTAATATGTTATATTCTTCTTCTCTTAATTAATCTTTTTGTTTATTGTATTTTTTTTTGCCTAATTACATTTTTCCATTTTACGTTTCCATTGTGTACCAAGTGCTTTTGTGTTTCTTGGATCGTACATGTATAGGGTGTTTCTTGGGGCTTAATTTTTTGTTAACTACAAGAAAATGACGATTTTGCGACGGTTATAAGGCTTACATTGCGACGGTTAGAACTGCCGCAAAGACAACATTGCGACGATTTGAGAACCGTTGCAGAATTGTCCGTCACAAGGCAATTTTGCAACGGTTATCAAAACGTTGCACAAACCGTCGCAAAATTGGAATTGCGACCCCCTGAAGCACCCGACGCACTAACTGTCTCTATATTAACATTGTGATCCTTTCATCAACTGTCGCACCAACTGCCTCTAATAAATTAATATTACGACCATTTTTTTATCCGTCGGAAATTATAATTTTTTTAAAATTTTAATAAATTTATTAATGTAACAATCCTCATATTTGGCCTTTCAAGTGTTCTATTTCACGATATTGCACTGTTTAGCGTGTTTTATCCTTACTTGTGCAATTTCTGGGAAACTTCCCAGAAGGTCACCCATCCTTGTACTACTCCAGGTCAAGCACGCTTAACTGCGAAGTTCTGATGAGTAAGCTACCGAAATGTATATATTACGTTAATTTTGTTTTATGAGAATTAAGTATCAAATCATGTTAGATTAATATAAAATTTGACATATATGATCTAAGAGATATGAACTTTAAATCCAACGGTTGAATTTTCAAAATTCACATTTAATATAAAGTTATTGAGCGGTGTAACACTTAGTTAAAGTTACACCGATGTCGTTTGAACCCTCCTCTATATATATATATAGGGACGGATGCACGTTTGGAATAGTGGGGCACTTGCCCCCACTACTATTTGACATATACATAATTTTTTATCTAAAAAATAATATATTTTAAAAAATAAAAATTATATTATAATAAAATAAAAATATAGATTCAGAAAAAATGTTTAGATATCTGTCAAATTTTTTGAAAGAAATTAATTCTCATGTGATAAAAAAAATTTCTTAATAATGAATTAATTTTTTAAAAAAGTTTAGTTATAATATATATATGTATATATATATGTGTCATAATATTCATATATATAATGTAATATATTAAAATAAATAATTTTTTGATAAAATAAAATTTGTACCATGCATGTTTATCTTTTGTGTTTTTTTATTTATTGTATACGTTGATTGAAAAAATCAAAATAGTAAAATTGTATATATTGATTAAAAAAATTAAAATAAGAAAAATCAGAAGATTTATGTTCCATTTAAAATTGTTATTATAAGATATATTTTAAAATAAATTATCATCTAAAAATATATATTAGATATTAAAAACATATTTATATCATAAATAAATTAAACTGGATTTTTATAAAATTTAACATATTTATTTTTATATTTTTAATAGTGTTAAAAAGATGGACATTTAAAATAAAATTTATAAAATTTAACATTGTAAATTATTCAATAATATATGATTTGATAACTAAAAAATTAAGTTATAAAATGATAATTATATTTATTTATATACTCTAACACATCTTACATACAAGATAAATTCATAAGTTTGTTTAAAGATAAATTTATATTCTAGTCACGCTTTTCAAATTATATAAAGAAAAAAAAATCGTGTACCTCATGTTAAAAGAAGTATATATAAAATTGTTCATAAAATATAAGTTCATTAAGATAATATACATAATACTTAAAAAAAACTTTTAAGTTTTAATAAAAAAAAATTGTCTTGTAGATTGTGACGGTTTACGGTAAACCGTCGCAATGCTGAAAAGTTTGCGATGGTTTATGACTAACTGTCGTAATGTTAAAAAAATTTGCGACAGTTTATGATTAATTGTCGCAATGTTAAACAAATTTTGCGACGGTTTACGATAAACCGTCGCAATGTTGAATAATTTTGCGACGATTTTGAAAAATTATCTTATGAAAGATCGCAATATCAAAGCGACGACGATTTCTATATAATCGTCACAATTTGTCCGTCGCAATTTATCATTTTCCTTGTACTATCAAGACAAACAAAATAAATATACTTTTATTGTTGATTGGCCTGTAAGACGTGGAAATTCATTTTTTTTCTTTGATAAATTATTATTTTTTCTTTCTCTCTGGCCATCCGTTAATTTTATTTTCTATGATAATATATGCATTAATTAAATGTAGATAAAAAGAAATCTTTAAAATAACAAAGCAGTGAGGATGGGAGGTGGCTAGGTTACTTTGGCCTATGAATCACTTGTCAATGTGATCTTATGAACGTACAAGAAACATTAGAAATGTAATACAGCGACATCAAAGAATACAACCACATTTAGATGGCCACTGTGATGCGCAATACTGCAAAACAAAGGAAAGATAACTTGGGAAAAATACTTTAGCTGAGGATCGAATTTCTTCTAGTGTGTGAAAGTGGACACTGGCCTTAGGCCATGTTTGAGTGCAGCTTCCCACACAAGATCGATTCTGTTGACATCTATGGCCCCAACTTCGTGATGAGACCAACCTTCAAGGCTGTGTACCACTCCTCCTGCATGGCACGCATGAACTACTCCCCTATCCATCGTGTACTGCATGTATATATTGTATAAGACAAATATTATGTAATTGCCGAATGATGATACAATTAATTAATTAAAGAAAATGAAAGAGACAGATATTGGTGAAGTTGATATATCACCTCACAACAGCCAAGGCCCTCCACGTCTTCTGGTAATCTCATGGCAGCTAGATCACCATAAGTGCAATCTCTTCTGATTGATAAAATGGGTGGGACAACAAATTGATGGAAATGGGTTCCACGTGGTGCCCAGTATTGCTCTCTTGGTGTGATCCACTTGCCAACAATCCAGCTCTGAATTAAGACAACCAAGCACGAGCCAAATTACTATAAAATTTATTGTACATTATAAATTCCCACTTAAATATGTCATAATTCAATTTCCAAACTTGTGTACCAAAAATAATAATCCAAAGTGTGACAATTGTGAATCATGACATAGTTGTACCTTGCAGTTTTGTGCTGCTTGGTATTTTGTCACTTGGACAAGATAGCTTTGATACTCAAGAGGGGCTTCCTTTTGAATCCTCTGAAATCTATCTGTTGAAAGAGTTAACATCTGCAAAATAGCTCTTAGCCCATTAGTAACTGTGATTAAATAAACCAAAGAATCATGACACTTCTGCATCTCGAGAATTAATCATCATTAGATCTAACTACAAATGATGTCAAGTGTCTTGGTCTTGCTTTCAAAGAAAGTACATGCTCTAGGAGAAATGAAAAAAAAAAAAAAAAATCCACCACTTTGAACCTATTAACTATATCAGTTTAACTTCATTCTTAGCCAATTAGTAACTGTTATTAAATAAACCAAAGAATCATGACACTTCTGCCCCTCTTTGTATTGTATACTAGCACCACCGTGACTACTCCCTAGTCCCAATGATTATCATTATTAATAATTTTTTAGGTTCTTGATATGGTATCAATAGGCACCACAATGATTAAACTTCCCTCGAGACTTCTAATAGCTATGCGACAATGTGCATAGCTTCTTAGCCAATAGCCATTAATATTTTAATTCGATTAAACTTTTAAGGCAAGAAAAGGTACGTAGGAAAAGAAACCAAAGTAGAATGCAACTATGCAAGGGAAACGGTGAAAAATGGGGACTGTGAGAAAAATTACCAGAACTTTGACTTTCTTTTGGCAAAGGTAGAGAGCAATTGCTCTTCCAAGCTTGGAAGTAGCTCCTGTTAGGAACACCTCTTTCACATCTTGAGGGATCTCATTGAGTATGACAGCTGCAGTTAACGTGTTCCCATGAACAACTCGAACCCTCAGGTTTGGGTGCTTGTCCACAAAAAGCTTTCCACCCCCGTTTAGAGATTCATTCTGCATTGAGTGAGAAGTAAGTTAGTTACTAGTAATTTCTGATAGTTAATACTTGGCTGAATGTATGATAAGATCATTGATCTAGCATGTACCTTGGTCTTCTAATGCATCATTAAATAATCTGTTGTTTTTATTATACAACGCACCGTGGACTAGGTAACGCTGTAGTTAATATCCCAGGAAAGCTAGAAACTAGCAAGTAGTTATGCCAAAGAAACTTAAAACCTGTGTTACTGTGGATTGAAATCCTATGAAATTCTTAATGTTATTTTCATTTCAGGTATATCCAGACTAAAAATGGGAGGCCATTGTAATTTTTTCGTAAATTACAATGTGACTCACCATTTCATTCTATGCAGTAATTATGATGTACTATATACTACCTAACAAGGCTTTCAAACCTTCACCAACTATGCTCAGATAAGGCCAGATTCAATTAATTAACCACGTTCGATCTATTATGCTACTCAAATTAAATAGCAAGAGAAAAAAAAGTGCAATGTGTCAGACCTTATTCAATGCAGCAAGGCTAATGACTTTAACCCCAAAATATTGTAATAATTTGTATTTTAATCAAGTAATTATGACTTAAATATTTACACAATAAAATAGATAATTAAGTTAATATTGTAAATATAATGATAAATATATTCATTATTCAATCGTCAAATTTTTTATTCATTTTATATTATAATAAATAAATAAGAAAAAATTCAATGTATATTATTAAAATAAAAATAGAATATCAAAGACATAAAAAAAATGTTGAAAAAGAAGAAAAATAAATCAATACTTATTAATTGTTATTCATTTCGGTAAAAACAATGGAAACAAATTATGACTGATGAATGCACCAAGGACCTACCTGAAAGCCACATCTAGGTACAACCCACATTTGGTGCAGTTTACCTCTGAGGTAGTAGAAACTAACTAAGAAGGTCTTGGACCAAACCCACATTGCTAGTAAAACTAGAAAAGCAACGGGCAAACATGGGACCAAGAAGAGCCTCGTTGTGTATGGCAATGAAGCAAAGGATCGCAGGACGAATTGAACATGAATAGAAGATGACACATCTACTATATGCGCTAGGAAAACAAAATGTGGGACCGTGTCACCGTTTCCTGCAATGATACAAATTTATGGTAGATATGGATGAATATCAACATTTCCACAAAAAATAAGAAAGATTAACTAATGGAAAATTTTTACATCAAATCAAACATGGAACAGCTTTTGTGAAGTGCTATCCGTGATGTTGAGTACCCATCAAGCATTGAAGTCAAAATGAAAACAAAAACAAAAAAAAATGGATGAAGTCATTAAATGATTAGATAGCTTACCGGAACCTGAACTTAATATTTTGTGTGATTGCCATGATTTTTGGTTGAGGGTATTGCCAAGTGCGTCAAAGAGAGGCATAAAGAGGCAGAAATTAGTATCCTTATCAGAATGGTGTAGGTTGTGATATCTGCATCATAGCATAGAAAGCGAGTGAATGGTACATACAACTGCACAAGAAATGAACGTGAATACGAGAAGCTTGGGAATCACATTTGAACACATAGCTGGACCACTATATAGAAAATTCATGTTCATTTCTTATGTCATTCTCTTAATAGTCTCCAACTTGTTGCCCAAAACTTGTAAAAGTTCAATTCTCGTGGACCACTTGTTTACTTGAGTTTCTCTCTTCACAAGAGAGAACCTCAGGTAACTTTGAAACCACGTGAGTTCTAGGCCAATGTTTCCATCCCTCCTCTCATAATGATATATACGTTTGTATGGAGGAGGGAGAGTCGGAGAGAGATAGAAGCATTTAGAATAATTTTTTAGGTAATCACTGATGTTGCTTGAAAGTTTTATTAAAATAGGAAGGATTTTCATGCAATTATATAAATCAAAGTTTCTCTAATTTAAATGAATTCGGAAGGAGTTTAAACATCGAAACAAAAGGAAGAAAATCATTTCCACAGGAAAAAGAATGTCAGTTATCCCCTCACTTTCTATCCAACTCATTTTTTCTTCAATTGTTTCTTTCTCTACCAACATTCAAATATGCCATAAAGAACCTAAAGTGCCACAGCTATTCAGGTACGGTTTTGCATTTAGTTCATGGTGTAAATACTTTTCACATGTCTTGCTAAAAATCTGACAGAAATCAATGCGAGCTTTCTCGTGTCAAGTCTGACAATTAAATATATGATGCCAGTAACTTGTATTTGAAACTTAAGGATGCAACATTTCTAAATTGACTTACGTTGGTGTGTATATCACATATCTAAGAAATGGGAATTTCTGGAACAACTGATGGGGAACAATTTCAACATTGCAGTGGCCCAAGCATCTGAGGAAATCAAAAATCAAAACATAAGCATACACCAAGCTTGCTGATCCATATCCCATCAAAGAAGCCCCAAGGATAGGGATTCCAATGACTAGCGTCAAAATAAGATGCTCCAAAAGTGTTGCATGTCCAGCTGTAGGAAAATAAGTCATATTTCAATCACCAATACAAGATCCAGAACAAGTAGTTTGAAATGAATATAACATATTTTGAAGTTTGAACAGAATAAACATCTTTGCAACTAGTCTTCCTTTAGAAACAACATAATATGAGAGGAGGCTTAAAATGAAGAAGGGTAAATATGATTGATTCTCACCAGTAAAAGACTCTGGTATGGGAGATGAATGATGAAGTGAATGATAATGGGTGAAAAGGTAATCTCCATGGAACTTCCTATGCACCCAATAATAAAGTGGCTCTGAGATTCCCACATGGAGAATCAGTGCAACAATAAGACCTTTTGCATTCCAGAGAGGAAGATACTGAAGAAAGGGAAACATATAGCAGGCCATGGAGGCTACTAGTGTTTGAAGAATCAAGAAATTGTCCCTGTTTGAAAAACCGATATTAGATCATCTCATACATGTATGTATGAAACCATTTTTATAAATTATTTTATCTAAAGATGGAAGAGAGAAAGAAATGTTTACCAGTCCCATTCTTTGTCAATCTGGTTGAAATCAACACCCTGTTGAAGAATCCGTCGATTTCTAGTGAGAAAAAACATGTGGCTATAAGAAGCCCAAAGCACGTGAATTAGACCTCTGAGAGCACTTAGTGTGAGCAAATGAAGGCACCAGCTGAGGTTGTAGTACGAGTGTTCTTCATTATACAACCATTCATACACAACTTTGGCCACAAACGGTCCATATAATACATACTGTTCATCAAGATCACACACACACATAACCCATGTGAGTTCTTTAACAAAGAAATAAGCACCAACACAGACATCACATAAGAAGATTTTGTGTACCTTGTATATTCCAAAGTTCTCCCATGGCCATGCTGATAGAGGAGCCCCCATTCCTACGGCACTATACTTCAATTAAGAGACTAAAAAATCCTGTATTCTATATATCTGTTGCACCTTTTCCCTTATATATGAATGTAAATGCTCCACACTATATTGCCTTTTCTCTTGGCACCAATACTTGTTTTTGTTGAATAGAGTGTAAGACAGCAAAGAGAAACGAGCCAATACACGAAAAGGAAATGAGAAAGGAGGAAGGACCAATGGGCGGAGATGTCCGTTTATGTAACCAAACTGTTCCTTTATTATCTTTTCTTAATTGCTAACTTTATCTGTGAGTTTGAGCCACAACTTGGAAATTTATTCTTCGTCCCATAACGTATTTATAAGCGCGGCAGATCATGCATAACTTCTTAGACATTATTATTTATTAAGCCTTCAGGCCTACACGGTCTCCCACCTGTCTTCTTCTACTGGGATATAAAATTATTACTTAATTACATTATACAAAAATATTTTATTTCTGCACTTTGCAGTTGCAGTGAACCTAACAGGATGGTGGATAAGTTTTTACGTAAGGTTCAAAATTATATGCTAAAACTGAAAACAATTATTACTTGGAATTCACATGTTGATTCAAATTTGGAAACCATTTACCAAAAAATAAAATTCATCTAAGTGATAATTCAACTCGATATCTTTAAGAAATATTTTAAATTTGAATACCGTAGATAAAAAATATATATATATATAGTTGGAAGAAAGGATTTTATTATATGTAATTTGTAAATTTTTTTAATCAAAAGTAATTATTGAAAAGGTTGATAAATACTTTTATACTAATAATATGGTTACAAAAAAATTGAGAACTATTCAATAAAAAATAAAAGATTAATTTTTTATGATTAAAGAAAATTTTAATAAAAACATAAAGGATAAAAATACATTCTCGTAATTAAATATTTTATATTTATATAGAAATATTTTAGAGTTAATGACTATGTATTGTCAAGTATGTTTTAAATTAATAAGAACTTATTGTTGTATATCTTTTAGGAAAATGCTCACTAGTGTTTGGTCAAAGAATAAAAAAAAAACTATTGAGAAATATATCTGCATATTTTCTTGTAGTTCACAATAAGAATTTTTTTACATATTAATGCCTTTTAATTGGTGTTTTTAGAATACTAATTAGCAAGACTCGATCTTTTATTGTACGTGAATGACATTTATATCGTAAATGGTTCAATATATAGTCTATTTTTTAAAATATATATTTTATACTAACAATATATTTAAATCAAACTTCTATGTATTGTGGTAACATTTTCATTTCCGAAAATATTCATTATACATACATTTTTTCTTCTCTCTCACTCTTTCTCTACTTTTTTTATTTTATCTTTATTTTTTTATTTCATCATCTATCACATTTTCAATTTCTTTCTCCACTTTTTTTCCTTCTTCTTTCTCTTCTATTTACTATATTTTACTAGCCACCCCCAACACGGAGAGTGTACAAATATCATCACCCTTACATTTTTTTTATTTTTTTTGGTGAATCATCACCCTTTCATTTCATTTCATATTAGGGAGTTGTATTTACAGGGATTATCAGATACATTGTGTTTAAGTGTTACACATTACATGTTTTTTTTTTATAAAAAAAAAGGTACATGGATTATTCTTTTTATGCTTTATTAATTACGTTGTGATTATATAATTAGAAGCTTTAATTGGAAAGATGGTGTTGCTGTAGCGTGTAATTCAGCAGATCTGGAGAGAAGTAAATGCCTTATATGGTTGGCAGGTGACACAGTACCTCTCAGATGTTAGATAAGGTAGGTTGGAGTTGCCTGAATTTTTTTTTTTTTTTTCATTAAGAGAATTATAAAAGATCACCATTAGAAAAAAGTTATTTACCTGCAAATTTTTTCACAAAAAAAATATTCATACGAATTTTTTGCGGATTTTTTTTACAATAATAAATCTATAGAAACTTTTTGCGAATTTATTTGCAAAAATTTGTTACAAATTTTTTTAAGTCATACATTGATTAGAAATAAGATAATTAAAGAGTATATAACTAGAGACAACACTCACCTTAGAAGTTAATCTTGTAGATTTAGTTAAACCTATAACCTACATTCTAATATAACCTACATTCTAAAATTTCAAAAGGTTATCAATCACATATTGGAGATGTGAAAAACATATTATGAATTCATTATGAGTCTTTGAAAGATAATAATTGAAGAATTAATGGTGATTTGATACTCACAATTATAACATAATTTCTTGGTAAATTTAAAATTTGTAAGAAATTTAGCAAAAAAATTTACACAAAAATTACTTTTGAATTATAAATTCCGCAAGAAAATTTCTTGCAAATTTTAAAATTCGCAAAAATATATTATCTACAAAAATATTATTTATAGATAAAATTTCGCAGAAAAAATTATAAAAATCATGTTTCATGCAAAATTTTATGTAAAATTCGTATAAAAAGTCGTATATAATAAGAAAATTTCTAGTAGTGGACTATATTAGTTTACTTAATTTAAATTATTGTAATGTATTAGTTTAAGTATTTGACTTTGTTTAAATTCTTTTTACATTAAAATATTGATTATTTATTTACTTAAAAATAAATTCATATTAAAAGGTCCTTACTATGTTACATGAATGTAATAAAACGCAAAATACAAGTAGAACTTTAATTTCAGTAATCCAATCCTATAATATAAAATTGAATATTCATTTCTTTTAAAATATAAGAACTTTCATATGCATTTTTCATGTGACTAGTTACATGCTTTTTCCATTTCACGTGTTTATAAGTTTTATATCAAATCAAATTAATTTTCTATTTAATTAATTATCCAATTAAAGATTTGTTTTAACGATCTTATTTTACATAATGTCCACGTTTTTTTAATTAAAAATAATTGTAGAAAATATTTTAATCATATTTTCAATAATTAAACTAATTTTTGAAAATTTTAAATCAAAAGTTTCAAACGTATTTATATATTTTTATTACTAGCTAAACAATCTTTTGTTGAATATTTTAAATATTTATATTTCTTTTAAATTTTACATGTATTAGAAATATTCAAATAATATATCAAAAACATCATTTCTATTGACTTATACGGATCCGGATTCTCTGACTTTGAGGAAAGAAAGTTATGGTAACTTAATACATCTCAACCGTTAAATGTATAAAAATAAATCAGATTGTGACACGTGTACAATATATATTTTAACTTAAATGTACACGTGTCACAATCTAATCATTTATTACAAATCTAACTGTTGAAATGTATTAAATTACCCTAACTTTCCCTCTACAAAGTCGGGGGATCCATTTCCGACTTATACATGACTTCGTCTCATAACTAAACATTATTGCTCTTAAACATTTAAGGTTTATGTGTAGAGAAAGAAAAGAAAATTATTTTTTATTTGGTTATAGAGAGAAAGAAAGAAAGTATAGAAACAACATAAATTAAAACATTATCTTTAAAAAAAATCTTATTTGTTGAGAAAAAAAACTCCAGAAACACCATTATTTAAAACTTTTCTTTCAAAGTCTTATTTTATTTTAAACTTTAAAGACTTTTTCCTATTTCTTAATTTTCTCTCCTTCAATTAATGAAAAAAAAAAGTAAAATTTGAATACGTAATTTCTATAAAGACATTTCACACGAATTGACGTTTACCCGTTGCTTCCCTTGAAACTCAGGACAAGGATCATTAAATGTTGTCGTTGAATATTGTATGGAAAGTAAAAAATATCTGGTAAGTTGTAACAACTCTTTCCATAACTATTGTTATATTCTTTTACTCTATCGATAAAAGTTAATCTCATAAAAAAAATAATTAATTTAGTTGATATTTGATAATAATAAATTTATCTAATTTATATTTAAAATTATTCTTGTATTACTTCTATTTTTAACTAATACTCATATATTTTTTAACTAATTAGAGTATATATATGTTACATATTATTTTTCTTTCTTAATTAATTCTCATCTTGTTTGCTTTTTAAAGAGTTTATAATTAATGTATTTGATTAAATTAAGAGAATATATTTTAATTATGGGTATTTTTGTCTAAAAATAATTAATATGTAAAATAATATAAATTAGGTCTTACATAAAAGAACAAACAATTGTTCTAAATTGGATCTTGTAAATAAGAACAAAGTTGATACATAACTCGATAACTTATATGGTATATTTAGTAGAAAGCAAAGAGATAGGTAAAAAAAAATAGGATAAAAAAAATAAATAAATATAAATAGGTAAAAAAAAATCGATTGTTTGGTTTAAAAAAGAAAGAAAGAAGTGGATGCAAAATAATATTATATATGTTTAGTTAGATGAAAAGAAATAGATGAGAAATAAAATGTATAAGAAAGAGAAATAAATGAATAAGAATTAGAGTGAAAATAATTATTAAAAAAATTTAAAAAATAGTTTATGATCAATTTTTTTAATCAATTAAATAAAAAATTATATAAGTAATTTAATAACTATTATAATCAGTTTTGAAGTAAAGTAAATAACTAATTAGAAGTAAGTAAAATAATAAACTTAAAGTAAATAAATAAACCTAAAATAATCAATTAAAAAAATCTTATAAAAGTTTCAATCAATGCAATCAATTGAATATATGTTCAATTTTACAAAACAGCGCATATAATTTAATCGATTAAATAATTTTTTTTTTAATGATTTCAACATAAGAAAAACCATTTAATAGATTGGCAATAATTTTTAATTGATTACAAATAAATTTTAAACATTTTTTTATACATAAAACTCAAACTCAACACATTATCTAAAAAGATTAAATCCAGAACAACTCAAACCAATAATTTGTTGGTGAAAATAATCAATTTTGTGTTGTATTAAACTTTAAAAATGACAAAAAAAAAACTAAAAAAACCAATATTAAAAAAGAAAAAAAAAGGACTAATAAAAATTAATCATATCAAGCTATTGCCGCTTCCCAATCTATGTTTTGGCTAATTGGGAGAACTAATCATGCAAACTTATTAAACCAATTTTGACGCAGCTAATTGCAACAAAAAATTGATCCATTGAAGTTTGATGCTGCTGCATCTGTCAGAGTAAACATAGGAGAAGTCAATCATATTAGCTAGTGGTGAGATCAATAATGCATGTGACATTGTCACGGCTGCAAATATCATCGTCACACACTTCAGTTTTTCATATTTGTTCGCATTGGGAGAATGTATCCTACAAGCTACTTAGTCTGCCTGTAATTTTTGCAATAGCACATCTAGTGGAAGGCTTATTGTTAAATATGCACTTTCATTCTCCTCCACTAT